AATGATCAACATCACTAAATTACAGGAAGAATGATTCACATCACTGTGAAGCTATGAACCTGGGACTTTGCATGTGGATTTTTTTTCAGTTTTGTAAGAGTTATTGCCCTTGACTTACAGTAGTATAAATTTGCAATTTTCAACTTGTTCATGCATAGCTCAAAAAGAATTTCACTTGTAGGCCTGAAAGAATCTTGGTCAGCAAGGTACTTATGCACCTTGGGTTTGCTTGTTGATTTATTCAGTATTTGTAAATTTCTTGCCCTTTACTTAGTAAAAGATTTTTAGTTTTCAAAAAATATTTGACCAAGAGTCATAACATTGACAGAACAGTGGCGCAATGGAGGCACCCGTGTCCTATGGACACATTTCTAGTTTTCAGTTTATTTCCTGCAGAATTTCATACTTTGATAATGAGTTAACCGAGAAAAAGAAGGCAGAAGCATTGCTATTTTTATACACCTCAGAAAACATGATGAGCAACTTCAAGGCCCACCTTGGGTGGCATGCTAAATTTTAATAAAATATGAAAAACAAGATCAACAAGGAAAGACAGCGTTCAATGAATGCAACCCCCACACGATCCAGCAACTAGAAGCAAGGAGCCCAGGAGGACCCCTGACAAAAACAGGACGGAGCGCAAGGCAGAGCAAGGACAGACTAATCACTAAAATGATACATAAGAAGAAGTAACCGACAGGGAAATTAAAAGAAAACAAATAAATGATTAATTAATAGGCACACAAAGCAAGGACACAAGAGAAAAGAAGAGATTCGGACGGAGGGGTGGAGAGTATCGAATAAAGACTAGGGCAACTGGAAATACTTACGAGACGAGAATACAGGCCACGGCCAAATAAGTGTCCCAAGCCGATATGAACAACAAAGACATCATCTGAGGAACCAGAGGCGCCGTCTTGGAACGGTCAGCAGCATAAGTACTGCTGGGGAGTTTAAACCGGTTAATGCTGCACCAAACCTCACTCTAAGCCCCACCATGTTCCTATAAACGAGACAGTGTAATTAAAATGAAACCCCGCCAAGTTATGGTGACAAAAGGTGAACACTGAAATGATAATGTAGAAACATATAAAGGAAAACCCATTGACCATAAAAATTGTACTCAATGTCTTAAAGGAAGACAGAGCAACAAGAAAATCACCTACAAAGGCCCAACGAAGCCAGACAAAATACGAACAATAAGGCAATTCAGTCACAAAGGGCTTTAAGAACTGTCCATCATTGAGTCTCACACTTGGTCCGACAGATGTATTCAAAACAGGAAAGCGTAGCGCCCAACTGTAAAAGTGTTGAACACTAAACATGCAGTAGGGTCATAACCTCTTTTAATAAAAAAAGTTTAATAATTTTAGTAAAGACAACATAAAATTATCTATGACACACGATCATACGAAGTTTGTTAATAACATCCCATTAAAATTCAGGCTGCCTAATCCCTTGTCGGATAAGAGTTATTAAATCACTATTGAATTTTGAGATTAAATCAAAGTTACGATTGTAAAATTTTGTAAAATATTTACGTAATTTATAATAGCGGTAGCCCTGTTTGAGTAGCTTGCTAGTAACGAACGCATCGTACTTATAATACGACGTCGTGTTCCTATCCCGTGACCTTCACGTGTCCTGCGGGTAAACCACTTGGTAAAAAATTGCATCTTTGAGAGGACTTCGTGTGTAGATCTGATGCCATCACTTGACTTTCGGTAGGAATCGTGTGTGGATCGGATGCGATCGCGTGACCTTCTGTGGGAATCGTACTTGCCTCGGCTGTTGAGGGGCTGTCGACCAATTTCGGGACCATCTTCGTGCAAAATTTTAAATTCCATATTCGTGTGCCCATCTGGTGTCAATATCGGAACAGTGGGACGCCTGCATAAACGGTCTTTATTTTGGGTATGTGATAAATTGAATATTCATTTTGTGTAAGGTCATTACTTAATTTATTGAACTCTTTGAACAAAATGATATTATGCCCGCCTCGGTCTCGCTTAATAAAATTTTATTCAACTTGTGCAATAAATTCAGTACTGAATTAACACTCATCAAATATCCTCTTTATATGCGTTCATTTTTTATTTTAAAGAAAAGAAATGTCTAATAACCTCCCTCTATTAACATGAAATGTAAATTTGGTTATATCTTTACAAATAATGCTTTTTGGAAATTACAATATTGATAAATTTTCATTTGAGCATTATATTTATGATATAAAACCATAAAAAATGAGTAACCGGATCTTTAATGATACTGTTTTTGTGCCATATATACAGTTTCCACAAAACAAGGGTTCTTAGCTAGCTCAGGGTGAGCTTTTATGATTGTTTAATGTCCGTCTTCCGTCCACACTTGTTCATTAACACTCTAGCGGTCACATTTTTGCCTCAATCATCATCAAACTTATCTAGGTAATAGCTTGGATTAGTTCAAACATGGGTGATATCGGATGTAACACTAGGTCACAGGAGCTAAAAATAGAAAAATACCTGTAACACTCTAGTGGTCACGTTTTTGAATCAATCATCATCAAACTTGACCAGGATGCTTGTCTAGGTTATTGCAGATGAGTTTGAACATAGGTCATCCCGGATGAAAAACTAGTTCACAGGAGCTAAAAATAGAAAAACCTTGTTAACACTCTAATGGTCACATTTTTGACTAAAATGTCATCAAACTTGGTCGGGATGCTTGTCTAGGTAATTGCTTGGAAGAGTTCGAACATGGGTCATCTCGGATGAAAAACTAGGTCACAGGAGCTAAAAATAGAAGATTTTTGTTAATAATCTTGTGGCTACTGTTTTGATCCAAATTTCCTGGAAATTGGTCTGAAAGTTTGTTTTAATGATTTCTAGGACAAGTTTGAATATGGCTCACCTGGGGTCAAAAACCAGGTCACACCGCCCAAATATGGAAAAACCTTGTTTACAATCTAGTGGTCACATTTTTGACTCAATTATCATCAAACTTGGTCAGATTACTAATCTAGGTAATTGCTCGGATGAGTTTGAACATTGGTTATCTCGGATAATAAACTAGGTCACATGAGCTAAAAATAAAAAAAATCTTATTAACACTCTAGTGGCTACTGTTTTGATCCAAATATCCAGTAAATTGGTGTGAACGATTGTTTTGATGATTTCTAGGTCAAGTTTGAACATGGGTTATCTCAGATGAAAAACTAGGTCACATGACCCAATTATGGAAAAACCATGTTAACACTCTAGTGATCACATTTTTGACTCAATTATCATCAAATTTGGTCAGGATGCTTGTCTAGGTAATTGCTCGGATGAGTTTGAAATGGGTCATCTCGGATGAGAAACAAGGTCACAGGAGCTAAAAATAAAAAATATTGTTAACACTCTAGTGGCTACTGTATTAATCCAAGTATCCTGGAAATTGGTCTGAAAGTTTGTTTTGATGATTCCTAGGTCAAGTTCGAATATAGGTCATCTTGGGTCAAAAACTAGGTCACACTGCTCTAATATGGATATCCTTGTTTCGATGGGTCAGGTGAGCGATCTAGGGCCATCTTGGCCCTCTTGTTTTCTGATGAATTATTATTCATCAAAGTATAAGTTTCAATTTTTGATTTAGATAAGCATATCACCGCCTCCGTGGTCGAGGGATTAGAGTTGATGACTTCTAATCCAGTTACCTCTCTGGCGTGGTTTCGATCCCCGGGAGATGCTTTGGTAGTTTAGCACGGAGAAAGGTAGTCTAGTATTTGTGTAACTCTCCGGGAACAATGGTTAGGAAACTACCCGCCTATATGACTGACATACCGTTGGGAAAAGGCGTTATATGAAACAAACAAACAAACAAACAAACAAACAAACAAGATAAGCATACATATTCCTCCCAGGTTAGTGTATAATACTAGTTTTAATTATTCTGACTGATTATATGACCCAGTGAAATTCTCATGCTTATATAATCCAATCTGTTAGACAAGGTTTATATGGCATGCATGCAAGCATTTATACAAGCTTACATTGCACATTATATATGATTTTATGGATCTACAGTCTTTAGAAATAAATTGTATTTTTATGCTTAACTACTATTACAATGAAATAAGAAGAGCCATGTTAACATGGTCATCCCCTGCCAAATGTGTTTGCTCATTGGAAGAATGTATATGTAGTAGAGCAGAATAATTCAATTTTAAAAGGATTTTTGGTAATGAAAACTAATGGCTGAAGTGATTACATATTTGAAACCTATGTGAATACTGATTGCTGAAAATAACAAAGGGCAATAACTGAAAAATAATATTAATGCAGGGTAGGTAATTATTCTTGTGTGCTGCGCTCCTCCTCAATGAGATCTATCCACCTATGAAGTTTCAAGATGTTACCTCTAACACTTTTTGAGATAAGCTCTGGACAAAAAGTATGAAGAATAACAAAGGGCAATAAAATTATGAAGTGTAGAGTTATCACTCTTGTACACTGCACACCTCATGAGTGAGATCTATCCACTTATGAAGTTTCATGTTGATATCTCAAAGGCTTTTTGAGTTATGCTCTGGACAAAATTAAGTTTGAAAAATTACAAAGGGCAATAACTGAAAAAGTTATGCAGGGTAGAGTTATCATTCTTGTGCACTGCACTCCTCCTCAATATGATATATCCACCTATGAAGTTTCAAGATGATACCTCAAATACTTTTTGAGAAATGCTCCGGACAAACATGTTGGATGGAAGGACGGACAGAAGGATGGACGGAGACTATTTTTTCGGCGGCGGATAAAAATGAATTTATGCTATTACACAGAGGTCATGTGCATAGAGAATATACAGAGGTGATTGAATGAGTGTACATGTGAGTTAAATAATGAAATTTTATTACGCCCCTCTGGCAAGCATATTATTTCAGTACATTTTCGTAGTTTGATAAATAATTAAACTACACAAATATAATTTTTCTGTTTAGCACATACACAACATTATAAATGCTTACAGGAGTATTAAAACTTTTAGCAATGATAATTATGTTTTGTTAGGTCTACATTGGTTACCAATGCTTGGTTCAAAACTATTTCATATATTTTGATAATATTGTTTCTCTCTGACTTGATGCTGTCTGTACTGGTTTCAGCACACCAAAATACAGCTCGAGGATCCTCTACATTCTCCAGTATAGTTGTCCTGTCTTTACAGTGACCACTTACTCTATATATACATTTAGTCAAGTAACCACTCACAAAGAAGGACCCGTCATCTAACAGTGAAATACCTCTTGGACTTTCAATGTCTACATTCCTTCCTATTACCTCTCCCTGCCAATTAAACCATATAACTTCCTTTTTGTCTGTATCAGAAACATAGATTGAATGGCTGTTTGTGGTGACATACCAAGGTCTACTGAAAATACTGTCACCATTGGAATCTTTCTCAACTGTAATTTTAATAACACCTTTCAAGTCCATGATTTGGAGCTTAGCAGGAGATAAAAAGGTGACTGCAAGTTTACCCTGATGATTGCTTATTCCATAGCAAGCTCCATCTACTTCCAGTTTGTTTTTCAATGAAAGAGAGTTTGAGGAGAAGGAAATGAACTGTATTGTTTTAATTTGTGGTAATGTAACAGCAAGTGTATCTCTGTTCACTATGGTGATATCCCAGGGGAATGATTCAAGCTGTAGTTGTTTTATTGTTCCACTTTTTATGTCTATTACTTTAATTGGGGAATTATTGCAATCTGCTACATATAATTGGTTCTGAGGAGAGACAGTTATACCATTAATCCAGCATTTTTTTTTATCTGAGGATGTTCTAACATCGATGTTTCTAGAGGTAGACATTTTCATTGGCACTGCATCCTTATCCTTTGGAAGTGCTGGTTGCTTTATTTTCTTTTTATGCCCCCGCCATGTAATGGCCGGGGCATATAGTGTTACCCTGTTCCGTCATTCCGTCCTTCCATCCTTCCGTCCTTCTGTCATTCCGTCATCATCAGTTTCCGTTCATTATCTTAAGAACGGTTGCACACATTCAACTCAAATTTGACATATGGATATGTCATGACAAAATACAGGTCAAGTTCGAATTTGGTCATGGTTCGATGATTTTTGGCAGAGTTATGCCCCTTTTACTTTGAAAATAATATGAAATTTCAGTTTCCGTTCATTATCTCCCCAACGGTACAACACATTCAACTCAAACTTGACATATGGATATGTCATGAAAAAATACAGGTCAAGTTCGAATTTGGTCATGGTTCGATGATTTTTGGCAGAGTTATGCCCCTTTTACTTTGAAAATAATATGAAATTTACAGTTTCCGTTCATTATCTACCCAACAGTGTTACATATTCAACTTAAATTTGACATATGGATATGTCAAAGGAATGGGCAGGTCAAGTTGGAATTTGGTCATGGTTTGATGATTTTTTTGCAGAGTTATGTCCCTTTCACTTTGAAAATAATATAGATACATCTTAGGAATAAGCAGTTGAAGTTTGAATTTGGTTGTGGTTCAATGATTTTAGACAAACTTATTTTTCCTGAATGTTGGAAAATTTTTGAACTTTCAGTTTCAGCACTCATACTTTTAGCCATTATTTTGGCTACAAATATGCAATATGCTATTTTTAAAAGGTTAAGACTGAATAATTTCAGTGCCTTGAACATTGTATGAAAATGGTTTGTGTTAACATTGAAAAGTTTTAAGGGCTTTGAACTTAAAATGAAAAAAATAATTAATGCACCATCTGAAATTTTGGCTGCATGCGGGGGCATCCGTGGCATGATGACACATTTCTAGTTTCTCAGTGTTCCAAATGATTTCTCATTCTGAAGGAGATTTTTGATTGCCTGATTTGCTTCAAAAGTGTATTCATCAAAATCTGCTATTTTCATTTCAGTAAATAGTTGGTCAGTTTTCTTGTTGGTGTTGATATGTTTTAGAGTATCAGCTGATGCTTGGAGTGATTTCTTGATGTCATCACATCTTGTTTCTGTTGTTTTCAACTTGTTGTTGTTGTCATGTTGGATTTTTGTTGCAGTATCTTTAACTTCCTTTTCTAGTTCATCCAATCTTTTGTTTATCTTTTTTCTAAAATTGTCTATTTCTACTAAAGCATCTTTCAGAGAAGTTGTTGAGTTAGCAATTCTTTGTTTTAGTTGTTTTGTAATATGGCAGCATTTTTCCGTTAATTTGTTAATATTTTTTAGAGTTTCTTTGAATTCAATACTGCCTAAAGTCTGTCCTTATATATTCGGTATGTAGTCCACATGACAGGATGTTGGTGTGTGTTCAAGGGTTACACAAACGCTACATATAAGTGCATTATGGTCATGACAAAATAATTTGATAATTTCCTTTGTATGTTTATGACAAGACTTTGTCAAATCAGCTGTCTTTCCACTGGTAGTAGGTTTTAATGACTTACGGAGGTTTTGTTTATGTGGCATGTGATCTTTATCTAGAAGTTGGTGATTGCGTAGTGGTTTTGGTCGCCTGTGAGTGTTAAAGCAAGTTTGACATAAATGTTCCTCACAATCGACACACTAACCAAAGGCAGGTAGTCTGATGTTATCTTGATCACACAGTTGACAGAATATGTCATCATCTTCAGCACCACCTTGAGATAGTGTAGATGAGAGTTTTTTAGATGACTTTTTACCAGGTACTGCCATAACATTATCTAAAATAGAACATGAAAGATACTAGAAGTGTTCAACAGTGGCATTTTGGTCATGATTACATCAAATAAAGAAACTGGAAAGAAAATAATTGACTTTCTTGTTGTGAATTCATTTTAATTTGTGCACATGTAATTTTGTGTTTTTAATAAAGTGCAGAAAATGACTGTTCCAACATTTCACTTTTACTTTGTGCATGACTGAAATTCTTTTTTAAACTGAGAGTACCAAACCTCTGAATAGGAACCAATACACTGTATCGACGAAGGGAGTCACGTGACCTGTAGAAGGTAAATATTCCATTCCCAGTGCCCAGCGTTTATCTGTATTTAAACTTGCTACACATTTCTTAGCAGTCAACAAAATAGGTGATTTACTGACAAATAATGTTATCATGCATAAATTCTTATAAAAGAACACATACTAGAAAAGGTTAATTATACCCCCACCACAAAATGTGATGGGGGGGGCTATAATGGATTCGCTTTGTCGTTTTCTTCAAACTTGTTCAAATGTTCACCTGAACAAGGGGATGTGCAGAACCCATGTTGCCCATGTGTCAGCTCAAGGTCAAGGTCACAATTGAAGGTCAAATATCAAACAATCAAATATTAGAGAGTATGTCATGTCCGCTCTGTAAGTCCTACACTAATTGAAAGATTTTCTTCAAACTTGGCTCAAATGTTCACCTTAACAAGGGGATGTGCAGAACCCATGTTGCTTATGTGTCAGCTCAAGGTTAAGGTCACAATTGAAAGTCAAATATAAAACAAATTTAAATATTAGTCAGTATGTCGTGTCCACTTTGTACGTCCTACACTAATTAGAAGATTTTCTTCAAACTTGGCTCAAATGTTCACCTCAACAAGGTTGTGGAGAACCTATGTTGTCCATGTGTTAGCTCAAGGTCAAGGTCACAATTAAAGGTCAAATATCAAACAATCAAATATTAGACAGTGTGTCGTGTCCGCTCTGTACGTCCTACACTAATTGAAAGATTTTCTTCAAACTTGGCTCAAATGTTAACCTTAACAAGGGGATGTGCAAAACCCATGCTGCCTATGTGTCAGCTCAAAGTCAAGGTCACAATTGAAGGTCAAATATCAAACAATCAAATATTAGACAGTATGTCGTGTCAGCTCTGTAAGTCCTAAACTAATCGAAAGATTTTCTTCAATCTTGGCTCAAATGTTCACCTCAACAAGGGGATGCGCAGAACCCATGTTGCCCTTTTGCCGGCTTAAAGTCTTGAAGGTCAAAAATTGACTTAGAAAATATTCTTAAATTTTAACATGTATTTGAATATTTCTGAAACTAGAAAAGATATTTCCTTGAAACTTGAAATATATATGAAGTGTCACAATTAAGATATGCAGGTCAAGTTTCAGAACTCTGTATTGCATTTTGACAAAGTTATGCCCCTTTTTTGTCTTCAAATTAACATACAATCAAATATTAGACAATATGTCGTGTCCGCTCTATCAATCCTATACTAATGGAAGAATTTTCTTCAAACTTTACTCAAATGTTCACCTTAACAAGGTTATGTGCAGAACCCATGTTACCTTTGTGCCAGCTTAAGGTCAAGGTCACACTTGAAGGTCAAAAATTGATAATATTAACATTATCAATATTTGTTAAGGGCATTTCCTAGTAATATATTTTATTGACTACAAAGTTTTAGTACACAGCTGCAATACATATCAGTGTTTTCCTGGACAACATTATCTAAAGGGAAATCTATATAAAAATCTATAAAAAAACTGTCATTATAAATGAGGAAACTCAAAAGGCATCATCTGCTTGAGAGGATAGAGTGCATGACGAGACTCAAGTGGACTGCCGAAGTGCTCAATCTGTTTTAACAGAAACTTATTTTAGCTTTAGCCTTAGACTTAAAATGAAATAGTTTTACATTGTGTTTTCAAATAAGTAAGTATTTCATAAATCCTTCAACTGATTGTTCATATAATATATCATACTAATGTTGACAAAAATGTATTACATACACTTATGAAATGAAAAATGGAAATATTAAATAAACAATTTTTTTGCTTTCATATTTAAAAGTTTATTATCAACCCCTACTGTAATGTTTAAACGAAGACCAATTGCATTTTTCTCAAACTTATTTCTATGAGAAGATTACCTAATAAGATTTTTTTTCTCTCAAAAATATGAGTAAAAATGAATTTAGAAAACAATATCAGGAAGCTATGTTGATAAACAAATGTACAAAACTAAAAAAAGTAATGCCAGCTTCAAACTTATTCTTGTTATAAGTACTTCAAATCAGATATTTATGTCGTTTTTAGATAAAGCTGGTTTCTTTTGCATGACCGTAATTATTATTTTCTAAGGTATCCCACATCAATTTTATATACCTGTACACATACTGTGTATGTTTGTTACCATCTAGACATACCATATTTAGCTTGACTGTTTAAAACAAGAACCGGTTGAACCGGGTGATGCTCCCCGAGAAGGTATTGGACACAGGAACGTATAAAAAATAAACAAAGGCAAACTTCAAAATAAGGCGAGGCAGAGTTTATGTTTTTTGCACTGCACTTCTATTCAATGAGATCTATCTATCTATAAAGTTTCGTGATGATATCTCTTATAGTTAGAGAGTTATGTCCCGGATAAAATTGAAAGTGTAAAAATGAACAAAGGGCAATAACTCCAAAATTAGACAAGGCTATGTTTAGGTTCTTTAGCGTTGCAGTTCTTTCCAATGAGATCTATGTACCTACAAAGTTTCATGTTGATATCTCTAATAGTTTTAGAGTGAGGTCCCGGACAAAAGTAAAAAGTAAAAAAAAAAAAAAAAAAAAAACAACAAAGGACAATAACTTCATAATATGGCAACACAAAATTATGGTTCCTTAACATTGCACTTCTACTCAATGAGATCTGTCTACCTACAAAGTTTCATGTTGATAACTCTTATACGTTTAGAGTTATGTCCCGATACAAAGTTCAAAGTGTAAAAATAAACAAAGGGCAATAATTTAAAAATTAGGACGGCAGAGTTACGGTTCTTGTGCACTGCAAACCTACTTAATGAGATCTATCTATCTGCAAAGTTTCATGTTAATACCTCTTTTCCTTTAAGATATATGTCCCAGACAAAGTTCAAAGTGTAAAAATAAACAAAGGGCAATAATTCAAAAATTAGGCAAAGCAGAGTTACAGTTCTTTTGCACTGCACACTTAATCAGTAAGATCTATCTGCCTACAAAGTTTCATGTTGATACCTCTTGTTGTTTCAAAGATATTTCTCGGACAAGAAAAGCGGACGGACGGACTGACGGACAAAGCGACGACTATATGCTCACCCTTTGGGGAGCATAAAAAAGGTAGTATTTTTAGTCTTAGCGTTGCCGTCAGCAAATGAGTACCTTGATCATAACTTTTTAAGTTCTTGGTGTATTGTCTTAATACTTGGCTACAACAATGTTTGGGACAAGACCTTTCATAAGATCAGACTAACATTGACCTTCATCCATAAATGAGCTGACCTTCAAGGTCAAACGTTCAAATGTTGCTTTTTTCTTGTTATTATTGGCTATAACTTTGTTATTTGTTAGGATTTGTCTTCAAACATGAACATTATAATCTTTTAGGATAGCCCTATAAGGTAACAGGACATACCGTGACCTTCACAGTCATAAATGACCTTGACTTTGAAGGTCAAATTATTGAAATTTTCATTTTTTGATTGTAACTGGCTGTTACTTTGTTATTATTTTATGGATTGACTTCATATTATTACAGAACATTATTTAGGAAAAGACATTCATGTTTATCAAACTGAAATTGACCTTGGCTCTTTAATGACCTTGACCTTGAAGTTTAATTCTTTTGAATTTCCACTGATTTTTGCATAAATTGACTATATACAGTAGACCGTCGTTATCTTGAAGTCATCCGGACCGTCAAAATTACTGAGATCATGAAATGTCAACATTAATGTATAAGGGTTTGAACAGTCAAGGAACTGAATTTTCTAAAGACATTTGCAAAATTATATTTAAGTCAAGTAAACTAAGCATGATGTCTAGATGCCTTTATAGAGCCTAAAATGTCGCTGTCAATATCTAACAAATTTGTTCCATTAGCAAAAAGGTAATTACTAGTGGAAACATGGCAGTCTGTGATAAATACACAAAGTGAAATTCACTCAGTAAAACACCACGAAAACGAAAACGTTGTTTTCAGCTGTGGTCTATCCAGATATCCTTTTGAGTTGGTTATCGGGCCCTCATGGTTGTTCGACCGATTGTTTGATTTTTAGACAATTTGATATTACCATCTACTTCCGACATTTTCCCAAAATGATGTGAAACAATATTACAATGATAATGTTTTTATACTTTCATTCTTTCTTTGACGTTTAAATTCATGATGCATTAAATATAGCGTTCGAATATGTTTGCATAACGGGACACTATTTTTGGACATAATAATCAATCAACACGTTAATTAGATCATATTTCATAAAACAGCTTGACTTGTAACAAACAGTGCTATTGAGCGATGGCAATCTGCTTGAATGTGTTTTTACACCTCTGCGGAGTAGACGAAATAAACTAACATCTACATCTACATTATACTGCTTAACAATCAATTCTGATTATAACTAGCAGGCAATAAAGGATAAAAGCGTGAACATGAACATGGTAAAAATAATTGTTTGGGCTGAAATTTTACTTCGAAATACTGAAAATATCGAAATAAACATACATAGATATAGAAATATATCCAATATTGTTAAAGAAGGAAAAACATTGGGCCTTTCAAAATTTCATTGAGATAACGAAGTATCGAAAAATGAGATGTCGAGATAATGATAGTTGACTGAAAATGAATAAATATTATTGATAGATAATTGCAACCTGGAAATAGACTTGTAATGTTATCTGAGGCTTGAGCTTATCAGTAATAAATGTGGTCAAGATTGTGTTTGCTCCATTCTTTATAGCAAATTGTGGTATTTACAACAGCAGCCGAGTGTATGTTTACCCTCTATAGTCACGTGACTGGCTTGTTGATACAGTGAACCCGCAGAATTTCTCAAATTGACTTGACTAGGGTTCATTTTAGGAATTGTCCTTTAGCAAATTTTGGGATATTAAGATTAAGATTAAAAAAGAGTCAGTTTCAGCTTACTCTAGTGGCAAAAGCTTATCACTTTTAGTTCTGCTCAAATTTTAAGGGCTTCTATGACTTTCAAAGGATAGGAACATCATTGTTGTCACACAAAGCCAAACAAAATGAAAATGATCAAAGTTTGAATTGTGGGTGGGGCACAGAAAATATATTTAAGTACATGTTTATAGTAAATTTTACTAACGTTTTACCCACAGATCTCAATTCCTATTCAATAGTTTGTAAACATATAAATACAAATTTACATGATAATATCATGTTACACTAGAAATTCAATATATTGCATTTAATGCTGTAGTGAAAGGCTTCTATTGTTTAAAACCTTTTTGGGGGTATTCAGGTTTTATAAATATATTTATTATTTGAACGTATGAATAATAATGACATGCATGTATAAAATACGCTTGAAATCTTAATTCATAATAACAGTTGTTTAGAAGAAAACCATGTGATATAGCAGGTTTAAAATATTGATTTACCTCTTGGTTTGTTTTACAAAACTATTTCAAGCGTAGATTGCAATAAAAATAGAACTATCACAATATGTTTGTATAGTATAAATGGGACAATTGTTATGAACCTTATAATGTAGGATATTTATACCCCCGCACAACAAAGTTGTAAGGGGGTATACTGGAACCAGCTTGTCCGGCCGTCCGGCTGTGCGGGCGTCCGTCGTTTTTTTCTTGTCCTTCCAATAACTTAAGATTCTTTTGACCCATAGTCTTCATATTTGGCATGGAGGTTAGTCATGATGAGTAGATGACCCGTATTGATTTTGAGGTCACCAGGTTAAACGTCAAGGTCACAGGGGCCTTGACTTCAAAAAGCGTGTCCGACAAATAACTTTAGAATCCTTTTACCCACAGTCTCACAGTCTTCATATTTAGCATGGAGGTTAATCATGATGAGTAGATGACCCCTATTGATTTTGAGGTCACCAGGTCAAAGGTCAAGGTCAAAGGGACCTTGACTTCAAAAAGCTTGACTGCGCAAAAACTTAAGACTCCTTTGACCCACAGTCTTCATATTTGGCACTGAGGTTAGTCTTGATGAAGAGATGATCCCGATTTATTTTGAGGTCACCAGGTCAAAGGTCAAGGTCACAGGGGTCTTGACTGAAAAAATATTGTCCGCCCAATAACTTAAGAATCCTTTGAACCACAGTCTTCATATTTTCCATGCAGGTTAATCATTATAAGTAGATGACCCCTATTGATTTTGAGGTCACCAGGTCAAAGATCAAGGTCACATGGGCCTTGACTGATGAAAGCTTTTTCGCCCAATACCTTAAGGTTCCTTCGACCCTTATTCTTCATATTTGGCATGGAGGTTAGTCATGATTATTAGATGACCCCCTTTTTGAGGCCACCAGGTCAAAGGTCAAAGTCACAGGGGCCTTGACTTATTAAAGCTTGTCCGCCTTATTACCTAAGAATCCTTTGACCCACAGTCGATGACCCCTATTGATTTTGAGGTCAGTGGGTCAAAGGCCAAGGTCACAGGGGCTTTTATTACAATAATCTTGTCTGCTCAAATGGTCTCATATATTCACCATAAAACACCTCCAGACAAGGCTACATGAATGGGGGGGGGGGGTTATTGAAGTCATTCAATAGCAGTTTCAGTTTAGAGGTCAGTAGGCCAAAGGCAAAGGTCACTTTGATCTTGTCCACAAAAAACTTGTAGAGTACATAACTTAGCAATGCACTGGCTTACTTCCCTCAGATTTGGCTGGGAGGTTGTCCTTGAGCTCTTAATGACTACTGTTGATTCTGAAAATTTGGTATGCGGGGGTATACACGCCATGACTGTGTCAGTTCTAGTTATTATCGCCACAACTAACATCCAATATAATGTGACATCTCAACTAAACTCCAATATTATGTGAAGTATTTATTAATAATCATGCCCCAACTAACGTCTTATATAATGTAACATAAGCATAATCATGCCCCATTTGATGTCCAATATAATGTAACATTTTTAATTTCATGCCCCAATTAACTCCCAATATTATGTAACACATTGATCATCATGCCCCAACTAGAGTCCAATAAAATGTAACATTTAAAGTGTATTTGTGCATGGACACATGTTTTATAATACAATATATGTAAAAACTTTAAAAGTATTGGATATTGTTAAAAATATTTCTCTAATATAGAATTTGACTTTTATATCCCATGCATAAGTATTTTACATATTTAACTGTGAGGGCAAATTAAGTTGGGGCATATGTGTCCAATAGGCACAATTCTAGTTATTTTGTAAAGAGAAAAAATCAACATCCAGGATTCCAATTTTATTGACAAATGCAAAGCAATAAAATGAATTACATAATTACATAAACCACAAGATAAAATATCTTAAAATTTCAAATTCAAAACAATTCAAGGTAAATTCATTTTAAGTATCTCTTTTGAAAGTAACAAAATATCCTACAAGGTGCAACTGGCTGAACTTCTCAAACAAGTTTAAAAAAAATATGTTCAGTAAAAGAACTAAATTAAGGTAGAACAACCCTAATGGGCACTATAAGGAACTGTAAAATTGACAACATAGGACAGTTATATGCCTTAAATCTCACCTGTATGCAAAATTTAAACAAAATTTACCGTGTGGTTTATGAGTTATGGACATTTTTATGAACTAAAACTTTGCCATTAGAAGAGCCTTTTTCAGAAATGAGGGAACTCTAAATAAATTATAATATCATCATTATGAAAAATGTTTTCCTATTGCTCATTGTTAAGAAACAATAAATGACATTCAGGTAACAAATTAAATGAGCAAATTGATTGTTTCTAAACGAAACATTTTTGATATGTATAAAAATGTAACCCTACCCCACCCACTTTAAACACTTATTTGACCATTTCCCTATGTAAAAAGCCTTAATCAAAATATCCTTGAAATTTACCACAATGAGGGGCTATTTTCAAAGTTTGCCTAAATTTTCTTAAATGTATATTGGTTGGTCTTGCAAAATATAAAATACTTTTACCGTGTAGTTTTCATTTTTATTAAGCTTGGAAAATATCTGGTATCATATTTGCTATTAAAATGGGCATTATTTAGCAAAAAAATACCTACAATAATTATATAATTAAAATTAAACACTTTTTTCTTCCATTAGGGATCTGAGAGATTCATAAAAAATGTTAAAAAGAAAAAAAAAGAGAAAAAAAAAGTTGCCCCTTCTGGGGTTTGAACCCACGCCCCCTCAGTTTCTATACACTTGACAGTGATTCTAGCCTATTTGAATACTCTTCAAAGTGGAGATAGTGCATTAGGGGTGTTCTACCTTAAATAAATGAATTACATTCAGCAAAGAATTAATCAGTAGATTGTTCTATAACGAACATGAGATTTAAACACAAAATATGTTTTAACTCTGACTACCTTAGATAAGAAAAATCAAACATCAATGTCAAATAATGATAATTATCTCTCTCATTCAAATTAATGTTCTGGCCCAAAACATACAAGACAATACTTGACAACCCTTGAAAACACTTGGCAATACTTGACAAAACATAAGACAGTTCACTGAACAATAACAACTTACAACATAAACAAGATAATACACATCATTCTTAAATAATGAATGTGACTCTTGAATGATTGAATGTAAATGTACAATGATTCACTACAGTGATAATTATGGTGTTATCTAAAGTGCTTTATATAAACATAGTACAGTGTACATGAATTTCATTATTGATATATAGAGGATATTTGTTTAGTTCAGTGTAAGATCGGAATATATATTTCACCGAGTGAGCACCAAAAGGTATATTTCACGAGTGGCGCAGCCACGAGTGAAATATGACCTTTTGGTGTTCACAAGGTGAAATATATTTCAATCTTACACTAAACTAAACAAATTTTCTTTTTATTACATGCAAAAAAAGATTTAAAAAGACATTAAACCTAATACTGAATGAAAAGCGCGCCAAATAATAATAGAACGTGACGTCATTTGCGACGTCACGTCATTAAGTTGGTATCCAGTACTGTGCATGCTGGTATTTCAGTGAAACAACGTAAGGGGCTTAAATTCAAAACAGTGAAATTATCAAAGTGGTAATTTCACTGTTTCAAACAGTGAAATTACCAGTTTTATATCACTCATATATTTCTATAAACCACCGAAAGCATGTAATAAAATTAAATCTTGTTTATTTGTGTGAAACAGTTTACTAAAGTGAGAAAAAATACTGCATTATATAATAGATATTTCAATATGCATTGTATAATAGATATTTCAATGGAGTATGGAATTTAAATTTGGTGTATTAAAACTATTAGTATTTTACAATTTTGTTTATTTTTTTGTTATGTAAGCATAGATAACCATTTCTTGGTTCTACATCATTTTATATATTTTGATAATATTGTTGTTGTATTACTTATGTAAAGTGTACTGGTTTCAGCACACCAAAATACAGCTTGAGGGTAATATACATTCTCAAGTATAGTTGTCCTGTCTTTACAGTCACCACTTACTTTATATATACATTCAGCCCTGTTATCACTCACAAAGATGGACCCGTCATCTAACAGTGAAATACCGTGTGGTCTTCCAGTGGTTACATATCTTCCTATCATCTCTCCCTGCCAGTTAAACCTTAAAATTTCATTCTCGGCGGTATTAGATACATAGATTGAATGGCTGTTTGTGGTTACATACAATGGGTAATTGAAAATACTGTCACCATTGGAATCTTTCTCAACTGTAATTTTGATATTACCTTTCAAGTCCATGATTTGGAGTTTAGCAGGATTTATAAATGTAACTGCAAGTTTCCCCTGATGATGGCTTATTCCATGGCACTCTCCATTTACTATCAGTTTGTTTTTCAATGAGAGAGAGTTTGAGGAGAAGGAAATGAACTGTATTGTTTGAATGTCTTGTAATGTAACAGCAAGTGTATCTCTGGTCACCATGGTGATATCCAAGGGGTTTGATTCGAGCAGTAGTTGTTTAATTGTTCCACTTTCTATGTCTAGCATTTTAATTGAGTTATTATTGAAATCTGCAACAAATAATTGGTTCTGAGGAGAGACAGTAATACCAGTAATCCAGCAATCCTCTTTATCTGAGGCTGTTTTAACATTGATGTTTCTAGAGGTAGACATTTTCACTGGTAATGCAGCTTTATTCTTTGGTTGAGCTGGTTTCTTTAGTTCCTTTTTTATCAATGTTCCTAATGATTTCTCATTCTGAATGAGTTTTTTGATTGCTTGATTGGATTCAAAAGTGTATTCATCAACATCATTAGTTGTTGGTAGTTGTTTTGTTATATTTTCATTGTGTAATATAAGTTGCTGAGCTATTTTCAATTCAGTAAACAGTTGGTCAGTTTTCTTGTTGTTGCTGTTGAGATGTTTAAGAGTATCAGTTGATGCTTGGAGTGATTTTTTGACGTCATCACATGTTGTTTCTGTTGTTTTCAACTTTTTGTCGTTGTCATGTTGGATTTTTGTTACAATATCTTTAATTTCCTTTTCTAGTTCATCTAATCTTTTGTTCATCTCTCTTCTAAAGTTTTCTATTTCTACTATAGCATCTTTCAGAGAAGTTGTTGATTTAGCAACTCTTTGTTTCAGATCTTTTGTAATCTGGCAGCATTTGTCTGTCAGTTTGTCAATATCTTTTAGAGTTTCTTTGAACTCCATGCTGTCTAAAGTCTGTCCTGATATATCAGGTATGTAGTCCACATGGCAGGATGTTGGTGTGTGTTCAAGGGTCACACAAACGCTACATATAAGTGTATTATGGTCATGACAGTAGAACTTGATAATTTCATTTGTATGTTTAGGACAAGACTTTGTCAAATCAGCTGTCTTTCCACTGGAAGTAGGTTTTAATGACCTACGGAGGTTTTGTTTATGTGGCATGTGATCTTTATCTAGAAGTTGGTGATGGCGTAGTGGTCTTGGTCGTCTGTGAGTGCTAAAGCAAGTTTGACATAAATGTTCCTCGCAATCCACACAGTAACCAAAGGCAGGTAGTCTGATGTCATCTCTGTCACATATTTCACAAAATATGTCAAAATCTTCAGCACCACCTTTAGATAGTGTAGTTGACAGTTCCTGAGATGCGTTTTTACCAGGCACAGCCATAATGTAACCTAGAATAAAACGTTGTTTATAAATGTTCAACACTGGATATTATAAATATATAAATAAATTATAAAAAAATGTATTTTGATTCTAATACTTAATAACCATTAGTGCCTCTTTTCTATATTTTATGACAGCCTTAATTCAGTCCTTCAATTAGAGAAAGACTGCTCACAATATGGCCAAACAGAGTTAACACTAGACACCATTCATGTGTGAAGTTTTGATAAGTTGTCTTGAAAATTTTGACAATTTATATGTATCATTCAAACCTTGTTATTATTAAGTGAATTTACAAAATTTAACTAACATCAGTTTAAATACTAAGATTTATGTCTTGTTTCAAAATAATTACATCATATAAATCTATTTTCTACATATTATTTCTAAGTTGATAAAAAACATAATAAAGTATTAGATCCCTTTCATTTAAGGGGGCAGGGGACATATTCGAATGATGGGCCCGGTCAAATTTTTTAATAACTCAGACATGGTGTTTTGAAGGTACTGATAACTTCTGATATTTCTCTGTCATTGTAATTCTTTCTTGTTTGTGTGTAGGAAATGAGAAGTATGTTTGGGTTTTCACCCGAAACTAAGCATTTTGGTAGCTTTGTATGTATTTCTGACTCTCCGAATGGAGGTGAAAATATTTGGAATTGTGTTTCTGGTCACACTGAAATACAATTTTTTTTCATTTTTAGGTCCCCTGCCCCCTAAGCGATAACAGTCAGGGGGGAGTTACTTCCCTTACCGGATGTGACGTAAATGGGGGATAAAACTACTGTATTCCTAGAAATATTTCGCGCATTTTAAGTTAGCGGTTTTCGCGGTAGGCATGATTCCGCGAATCTTTATAGCCGCGAATATGTCACTTATAACAAATCCGCGAACATTTCTAGCTTCAGCCAAATATAACATAAAAAGTGCAGAAAATTTATTATAATCTACTTACACAAAAAAAACATATAAACACAGGTGCTATAGAAATGTGTAAAGAATAATTTATGTATGTTATTGATACTAGTTTGCACGCTGAAAAACAAAATATCAATTATTAGTAATTATCATGCTTATTGACGTTATTTGCTAGTCACAGAGTTGACAAACGCATTTACAGTTTGCGAACATTGAATGACTTGGATTTTATTTGCTTGGAGTAGGTGTAATCCTTTGTTAAAAGTACAAAAGCGATAAAGTGCTACATTGATAAACAGCTGTTATGTTGTTATAATGAAAGCGATGTACAGTCCGATAATGTGTAAAAAAAAAGTATCGACATTGTGAAGATAAAGTCAGTTAGGAGTCAATGAGAATAAAAGCTAACGGGTCTGACTAAATCTTACTTAATAACATAATGAAAAAGGTAAGGAAATATGAAAGTGTTCACGGAACAACCGTCCTTGTTCAACTAGTCCTTACATGAAAAAGAATCGATTAAGTTGCGCTTTAGGCGCGACTTGTCAAAAAAATAAAATAATTAAAAGAACCCAACAGGCAAGGTCATGCATTGAAAACGTAGCCTCTAAAAACTGTAATTTATGCCGTAGCAACTTAATATTCGCGGAATTCGCGGTTACTACATATCCGCGAAAGTTTGTCTCCGCGAAAATGCCGACGTTGTGAAAAACGCGAAATATTGTATCCGCGAACATTTCTAGGAATACAGTATTCCGGCCGCATAGAATGTTTGCTTATTGAAAAGTTAAATGCGTAAATACTGATCTTTCTATTATGATTATATCATGTAAAGATTTACGCATGTATACATAAATTCAATATCAAGGCAATAGAAAAAATTACAAAAGCAAAGATTGAGATTATTTCTCGCTACGGCCGAGTGAAACAGCGAAATTTCAAAGCGAATATATTTATGGGACTCTATATTTATTAGATCTAGATTTTTCTCTAATGCCAGGATAAAAAGCTAGTAAGTAAATCAAATTTTAATATTTTATAAACACCTATACACACTGAAATTGCCTATTATTAATCTAAATGGCCATTTTTTAGTTTTTATTTTCTGTCATTTAGAAAATTACGGCGTATTTGTGATACACATGAAAATAAGATTGCCAATGTCTTTTAATGATTGTTTTCAAGGTTTAAGGTAGTACACCCCTAATGCACTGTCTCCACTTTGAAGAGTATTCAAATAGGCTAAAATCACTGTAAAGTGTATTGAAACTGAGGGGGCGTGGGTTCAAACCCCAAAAGGGGCAATTTTTTTTCTTTCTTTTTTCTATTTAACATTTTTTATTGATCTCTCAGACCCCCTATGGAAGAAAAAAAGTGTTTTATTTTAATTATATAATTATTGTAGGTATTTAATTATTAAATAATGCCAAATTTAATAGCAAATATGATACCAGATATTTTCAAAGTTTAATAAAATAAAAACTAAACGGTATAAGTATTTTATATTTTGCAAGACCAACCAATATACATTAAAGAAAATTTAGGCAAACTTTGAAAATAGCCCCTCATTTGGGAAAATTTAAGGGATATTTTAAATAAGGCTTTTTACATAGGGAAATGGTCAAATTAGTGTTAAAAGTGGGTGGGGTAGGGTTACATTTTTATACATATTAAAAACATTTCGTTTAAAAACAATCATTTTGCTGGTTTAATTTGTTACCTAAATGTCATTATTTATTTCTTAACAATGAGCAAAAGGAAAACATTTTTCATAATGATGATATTATAGATTATTCCTCATTTCTGAAAAAATCCCTTCTAATGGCAAAGTTTTAGTTCATAAAAATGTCCATATCTCATAAACCACACGGTAAATTTTGTTTAAATTTTGCATACAGGTGAGATTTAAGGCATATAACTGTCCTATGTTGTCAAAAGAACGAAAACCATGTGGCATTGACTTTCGCAACAGACGATAATAAGATAATTTTGATATTAAAAATCTATTCTTATGGTTATAAAAATAAAGACCTTTTCTCATTGATAAATAGATGTATATATTTAAGCGCCACTGGGCCGTAACATATTAATTAACAGGGTGCATATGTTGTATATACAAGCGGCACTTGGCTGTGATATCATACATCACCAGGGTGCATTTTTTAGAGTTATAACATTACATCAGATTACCTCACTTTTGTTAGTTGTCAAAATATTTATGGTCCGAATTTTGTTATGGATCACCCTAGGGACTTTTTAGGTCATGCCTTACCGATTTGAGAGTCAAAAAACTCCTTCAGAATGAGAAATCATTAGGAACTGGCACAGTCAAAAATACGTAAAATTATAATTCAGTTGATAACGAATTTCTGTGAACGGGTTTCACAACTTGTTTGTTTTTTGTTGTTTTTTGTGATCCTTTTTAAATATTTGATAAGCAGAGTATGAATTAAAAAAGTATCAAGTTGAAAATATTTGTTTACCAGCTTAAATACTTACATTTAGCTCCATGGTGTGATGACCGATTTTTTGAGAGTGCATTTTTTGCCGACACAAATAGTATATACAGTCATGTATATTCAAAAGAATTTTTACTTTGTATGCCTTTACATTTTTTTTGAAATAACATAGATTTGTATTGTTGTTTTTCTCTGTCTTAGTAACGCTTAAATCAAAATGGTTTTAATAAACAAGTATCTTGCAATTAATTATTACGCAGCCGTTTTTCGAAATTACAGAATCCTTGTAAACATTTTTGAAACTCAAAATATCTTTTGGGTATTGTATATTAGCAGAGACATAGATACATTATCTATATCTCTGGTATTAGCAAGTTAATTAGTACGATTTAACTGCCTGGTAAAATTTTCATTATTAAGAATCTAACGAAAATGGTAATCATGATCAGTTACCCAGCAATATGGTCTACTATTAAAACAAATCGTTAACCTTATTATAGTAAACATTTTTATTCATTTCACCATCCTTTTTATGTAATATCTTATTCAATTACACAAAATTTTGGCAATTTCAATTTACCATCTTACAAGAGAAACGATTAAGATCTTTATATTCATCTATTATTGTACTTAATCGTATCGGCATTGTCCACCGTATCCCCCAATGACGTCATCCAAGGGCGATAACTTGAATACAGTCTTAAATGAAAGGGTCTATAGGGTGGGTACATACATATAAATGAATTTAACGAGCAGTATAGAGGACATTGAAAAACGCTTGTCTAGAACAAAATTTCTACATGCAAAGGGGAATTTTAAATTTTGGTAACTTGGTAAAAATGTTCACCATTGTGAGGCAGAGTGTCAGACGCAAAATTAAGGTCCCTGAGGCTAAGGTTATAGTGGACACAAAATTTTGAAATTAGTACATTATGAGTAAGTAATGTTGACCTTGGCTTGAGGATGGTGAAGTCAAGCCTACGCTCTGCACGGTTAAAGTTTCTACCAAGTAGTTTCAATTTCCTTCCTCCGGTTTAAAAGATACAGACTGTACACGAAAACTCCTATAAAAGTCTGTATAAATCAAGTATTCTCCGGGGCGTGGCCAATTTGATATAAGGAAGCATTGAGCTGCTTATAGCATACCGTCTCATTATAAGTAATATTTCTGCCAAAATTTTTATTTCTCTCTATCCGTTCAAAAGATACAGAGCAAACATAATATTTTGAAATTAATACATTATGACTAACTGTGACCTTGTCCTTGACATTAGAAAGGTCAAAACCTTTGCACTGCATATTGTCTTAATATTGTTAATATTTCTGCCAATTTAGTGATTTCAATTTCCTTAAATTTCATTCTATTGGTTCAAAAGATACAGACTGGACACAAAAAAAATGCTTACAGTATAGAGGTCATTGATGGACATGGTTTGTAGTTTTGGCTTCATGGTCCCAAACTTAAGTAACTTAGTCATACACCTAGGGTCAAAATTGCCAGCCCTTAAGTTTATATATGCTTTTACAGGAACATGTTCTTTAAAGCCTTATTTTATAAAACTGCAATGCCCAAAGTTTTGATATTTGGCACGTATCATTGCCAAGAAGACCTCTACAAGAGTTATATACGCATATCCCATAGGTCAAATTCAATTGGTTCCATCCTAGTGTTTACTTTATTGAAATAGACTTGTACAACAAAATAATCTTAAAATGTTCTCAAAAACTACAATGCCTAGGGTTTAAATATTTGACATGTCCTCTATAAATCATGTCACAGGGGTAAAAAAATTGACCCTGTTCCAGGAGTCACTTACTTTATAAAGACTTATACTTCTCTTGTGAATCTTCAATTCCAAGATCTTAGATATTTGGCATGTAGCATTACCAAGTGGATCTACACATTAGTTGTAATAGTCAAAAATTGCCCTGCAATGGGGTTTACTAAGTTTACATAGATCTGTGTAGTAAACATGTCTTAAACATATTCTTCCCCCCTGAAATTACAATGCCCAGAGCAGTGTAGAATTCTACACAATGATGTAAACCATGCCCATGGGCTCAAATTTAGCACAGAATCGGCCACGGGGTCACTTGATTTATATTATTACTTGTATAGGAGGAAAAACATTCAAGCCTGCTTTTGTAAAATTTCAATGCCAATAGCGATAATAATTGTCATCAAGCATTTCTAAGCCTTTTTGTTATAGTTTGGGCTGGTCTAAAAATACTTCATAAATTTCATTAAATTTTTAAACATAATATACGAGGGGTGTTCCAGAATTACGTGGACTTTTGCTGTAACTCAAAAACTACTTAAAATAAAAACAAACAAAATTAACATGAACAAAATGCAACTTTATTGCATTAGTACAAAAAAATTTCAAGTTGTCCGGCAACCGCAGATCAGTGTCTTGGGCCAGGGTAATGAGACAAGGGGTAGCGGGTGCGGGGGCAGTCCATTCCGACGTTACGGGACGTCATTCGGTGGCGTCGCTAGTTGTTAATAAATGCGTGTGTCGAATGTCAGTTTTTCTCAACATAGTCGCCGCCTAACTCAATACACTATGGGTGTCCGATATATCCACTGGTCGTAAACCGCCTGTATAATAATAATAAAGCATACTAATAACTTTTGTTATAATTGTGATAATAGTGTTAAAGACGACGGTGAAAATGCTGACGCCGTATTATTATTATTATTATTTATCATTATTATTTTTATTATTATTATTATTATTCTTTTTATTATTATTATTATAAATTATTATTGTGGAGTTTATTTTGTACGGGCAAGACAAGTGCGTTAACAAGGGAAAATAACCTATCATCCGCACTGCTTAACTATAGCAGTTTGAGTTTCACTTTCTTAAAAGCTGAAGCGGATAAACTTGCGTTTAAAATAATATAATTGTGATTAGCTTAATTTTTGAAAATCATTTTTTTTAAACACAAAATTATAGCTTTACCCTTGAATGGTACTTCAGCATTGACCTTGGTGTAACGCCTGTCCCGATCTATGACGTTCCTTTGACTTCCTTAATTGACGCGCCATCAACGTTGACTTTCTCCCACGCCCTTGTCTTCTCAAAATGTCCTCTCGGTCGTCTCGAAACGCTTATGCCACTTGAAAACGAGTGATCGACAAACAGGGAGGTCTCACTTTTGAAGTATCCTCAACTTTCCTGCGTCGTGTTGGCGTCTCCCAAAAATTAACACAAACTTGATGATAGTCCGATGTGCGCGTAATCCGTGGACGTCATTTTTTGTTAAATATCCAAAGAGCAACGGTTGTCAGTTCTCCGCTGGTAAACAATAACGGAAACAGCCATGTCGTCAAAATTTCAAACGAACGTTCAATGAACGTCACTGCATATGCCTTACGACGTCGCGCCATTTTTTACGTAAAATACGCAAGCATATACGAAAGTAAAGACAACTTATTAATACAAAATATTGGACTGCCCCGCCCTGCGCATACTGCGTTACTATAGCGACGTAAAATATAGAGAAGCAATATTAGAAATTTAAAAATAATGGAAATATTTATTAAGGATATGTTAAAGGTATTTTGAATAAATTTGCTAAAAATGCATTAAAAATAAAAAAGGTAAAGCAAAAGTCCACGTAATTCTGGGACACCCCTGGTATATTGAGTAAATTGACTCACCAGTAATTTATACTGCTCACTAGGCTATTGAAAAAAAGTATTTCCTTCTTTAATTTCCTATCTGACTAGTCACTTTCCTTCTATTCACTGCTATGTATTTTACCTGTGTATAAACTTTAATTTTACCAGTAAGTATCATCTTACAATAGATGATTGTACCTTAAACAGAAACTAATATACTACATTTAATGTAGTATTTTTGGGCTATTATTCCTTTTAAGCTCGACTATACGAAGTATATGGAAAGCTGTCCAACTTGTATCGGCGTCCGCGTCCAGATTTCAGATAAAAGTTTTAGTGCAACTAAAACTTTTTCTTTTCACAAGGTTTCAACTTCACTGCGTTCGTCATCCGTCCGTAAACTTTAAATTAAAACGACATCTCCTCATAAACCACTTTCCAAACCACAAAGCTAATTTCATCGCAACTTCAATTCACAGGAATGTTCCTTTGGTGATCACCTTAAAAAAATTGTTCAAAGAATTTGATTCCATGCAGAACTGTGGTTGCCATGGCAACATAAAGAAAAAAACTTAAAAATGTTCTTACTAAAAAACCAAGAAGCTAGAGCTTAGATATTTAGCATGAAACATGTTCTTGTGGGTGTCTACCAGGTTTGTTCGAATAAAAATTCAAAATTGGCCCTGCCCCAGGGGTCATTGATTTTCCTTATATGTATAGAGTAAAATCAAAAAAATCTTATGGTAAAAAAGCCAAAGACGTATTATATATATATAATACTATTATTTATATATTTAGCACAAAACATCTGCCAGTTGGTGTCTATTAAAGAAGTTTATGGGAGTTTTAGCTCGAGTATACGAAGTATATGAAGAACTGTCCTACTCGCCCCGGCGTCGGCGTCCGCATCCAGATTTTAGTTTAAAGTTTTGGTGCAGTAAAATATTTTTCACTATAACTTGTCATTTCTTAAGTTATCAAGTTTTACCTTCAAATATATGTTTTTTATCATCAACAACATCTATGTGTTAAGCTTTATTTCTTAAGGAATCAACTTCAAACTTCAAATTTATGTTTCTTATCATCAACCACATCTTATGTGTCAAGGTTCTTAACTCTAGCACCAATATTTTCAGATTTATCTCCCCTAGAACTTAGAAATTTCCTTAGAAAATACATTTTTTTCTGTAACTACTTTATTTCTTAAGGGATTTAACTTCATACTTCAAATATATGTACCTTATCATCAACCATATCTTATGTGACAAGGTTCATAACTCTTGCATCGATATTTTCAGATTTATCTTCCCTTGAACTTAGAATTTTCCTTTAAAAAAGTTATTTTTTAATGTCACTTATTTATTTGTTAAGGGATCAACTTCATACTACAAATATATGTACCTTATCATTAACCACATTTTATGTGACAAGGTTCACAACTCTAGCACCAATATTGCAAGAATTACCTCCCCATAAACTTAGATTTTTTTACTTGAAAAATATTATTTTTTTCTATATTTTTTTAGTTTTAAAGGTATCTACCTCAAACTTCAAATACTTATTCCTTATCATCAATTACATTTTATGTGACAAGGTTCATAACTATTGAAGCAATATTTACAGATAAATCTCTCTTTGAACTTAGGATTTTCTTTATGAAACATTATAACTGCTTTACTTTTTTATCTACTTCAAACTTCAAAAATATTTTTCTTATCATTTCACACATGTTGTGTGACAAGGTTCATAACACTTGCGTGACTTTTTCCAAAATTATTGCACTTGATTTTGGAATTTACGTTAACAATGTTATTTTTTACAATAACTTAAAACATAATTATACATAATTGATTTTTCTTTCATAGTTTTGTCTTCCTTACTGCGTCCAGTATTTTATTGTCGAGCTTCGCTGTCTTCTGTGACAGCTCTTGTTCTATATACTAATAGGCAAAATTTAAACTCTGCAATAGAATTTCATAAAACTTGGCATGTTGTTATAATATATATTAAGTGAAAAATGGGGTCACCGCCATGCTCATTAACTTATTGAGTTATTTGCCCCTGAATTGAACCTTTTTGCCTAAATCAAGGACTGATAGTTCACAATCAAGGTAAACAATACTTTTTTGTCGCTTATTTTATAAAGTGTACTTCAGGTTGAGTCAATGTGGAAAATTTCAATAAAGAAAAACAAGTGGATTGGCTTTTTCTCTTCTTTTCTTAACCTGTGACTATTTTTCTTAAAATATAGCAAATTTTTAAAGAATATTAAGTCACTTTATTCAAACTGAAATACTTTAACGTAAATTAGATATGGTATAACCTGTAATTATGTATTGTGATAAAAAAAACATAACCAGAAGTAAAAACACTATTTTAAAGATAAACGTATAAGTTATCTGCCCTTGAAATGACCTCGAATAAGTAAAATATTCTGAATCAGGGGAGATAACTCAGAAGTCAGAACGGTGACACCCAAATTTGTTTCGCTTAACATGTTTTATTATTATATTCTAACAACATGTCAAGTTTAAAGAAATTCTATTGAACAGTTTTAATTTTGCCTGTATGTTTATATGGAAACTCCTGAGTGTCTTCCAAGTTTGTTCAAATTAAATCCCTCGGGTCAAAATTTGCCATGACCCAGGGGGTCATTGATTTTTCTTTTATGTTTATAGTAAAAGGGAAAAAAAATCTTCACCTAAAAAAAGAAAAAGCTTGAGCTAAAATATTTAGCATGAAGCATCTTTTTAGTGGGCGTCTACCGAGTCAGTTCAAATAAACTTTCAAGGATGAATATTGACCCCGCCCCAAGGGGTCATTGATTTTCCTTAAATGTATACAGGAAAAAAATCTTCTAAAAAAGCTAGGGATTAGGTATTTGGCATGTAAGGGTTTACCAAATTTGTTCAAATAAAAGCCCTTTGGTATAAATTGGCCAGCCCTAGGGGGTCATGGGTAATTTTCCTTATAATTTCATGCATATTGAAAAACAAAAAAAAACTTCATCTTAAACAACTGAAAGAGCTAGAACGTAAATATTTAGCATTAAACATCTTTTGGTGTCTACCAAATTTGTTCAAATGAAAACCAAGGGGTAAAAATTTGCCAGCCCCAGGGAGTCATTGGTTTTCCTTATTTTTATTTAGTAGAAACAAAAACGTCTTCTATTATACTATACAGCCTTTAGCTTAGATAATTGGTATAAAACATGTTCTGGTGGACGGCTATAAAAATTGTTCAAATTAGTGCCCTTAAAATTACCCCGCCCGTGGGGAACATAAATTTGTCTAACATAAATATAAATCTACAAGAGTTTTCATAGAACTAGTGACTTCATAGCAGCTATTTACTTTTCATAGTAAACTGTAAATTTTCAAAGCAAATACTAAATAATGCCCTGCATATATAAGAAATAAGAAGATCTGAACATTAGTCAGATTGATTTTCAAAGCAACTAACAATTATTAACTTTCCACAGCAACAAGTTAATGTACTTTTGATTTTCATAGTAGGCACTGACTTCTAATGAAACCATTTATTTTGTGTAGCAAACAGTGACATATTTTGGAACTTTTATTATCCCCCGCCGAAAGGCGGTGAAGGATATAGAAATAGTCTCCGTCTGTCCGTCCTTCCGTCCATCCGCACTCACAGGACAGTAATTATGTGGCTAGAGGGACAATAGGTAACTGTTCTTTCTCTTTGTTGTCATTCATTCCGTAATGCTTTTATTCGGTTATTTTCTTTTGTGTGGCTAAAAAGAACAATAGAGAGAACAATAGAGTAGCCCCATTATTACTTTCCTGTTAGAACGTCCGTTCTTCAGTCTAGCATTTTTGTCCGGAGCATATCTCAAAAAGTGTTTTAGGTATCAACTTGAAACTTCATAGGTGGTTAGATCATATTGATTGTAATGGTTTATATTAAGACGCAAGCAAAATTTGGACATTAGACCTTGAAGGTCAAGGTCATTTACAGATAAAGATCAAGGTTAGTGTGGTCTACTGAAAGGTCTTGTCCAAAGGGTTTTTGTGGCCATGTATGACAATACACCAAGAACTTAAAAAGTTAAGATCTAGGTTCAAGGTTAGCGTGGTCTACTGAAAGGTCTTGTCCAAAGGGTTTTTGTGGCCATGTATGACAATACACCAAAAACTTAAAAAGTTAAGATCTAGGTTCAAGTTTGCGGACAGCAACGCCGCCAGGACTATAAAAAAAAGTCAAGCTAAAAAGAGGGCCATGATGACCCTATTATTGCTCACCTGAATATAAATATTCTCCATGACAAGAAACAAGTAATAATATAAACCATTACTATTACTATTTTCGGCGGGGGAAAATAAAAGTTCCACACACACACATATATATTCAGAATTCATAGTCAAAACTAATGTGACAGACAGACCGATTAAATTTATAAAAAGGATACATTAAGATTTGTTCAAACATTTCTTTGTTTGCTTTTAGAAAAAAGTAAAAAGTCGAGCGTTGTCCCCGCCAGGCGGTGGCTCTTTTTTGTATTCATGTTGTATAAATGGATTGATTATTGAAACGTCTGAATAAAGAATGAATTAAGCGCTCGTAGATAATTAAGAGTTGAAATCTTATAACATAAAAACAGTAATTTTGAACAAAATACCAATGATATAGCAGGTTTAAAATATTGATTTTATAGGTCATGGTTTTACCAAACTATTTCAATTTAAATCAGTTATTGTAAATTTCAATCAAAATAGAAGTATAATACTTACGATATTTTTGTGTTATATTAATGGGACAATTTAAAAAAAATGACATTTAAAAAGATCATTTATCTTGATTTTGTTTGTTTGGCTGTTTGGGTAGTTATGAGTTACTGTTAGGTGCAAACTAAAGAAAGGGGAATGGTGGTCTAGTGGTTATGGTGTGTTATAACGTCTGCAGAGTCCCGAGGAACGGTTGGTGCCCGAGCCCGGTAGGGCGAGGGCTCCAACAGTTCTGAGGGACTCTGCAGATTTTATAACACGAAATAAACGTGCGTTGACGCTATTATAGCTTAAAATTTTTAAACAGACTCGTGATGTATAGTTAATACAAAACACAATTACATTAAACTCTTGTGCTTGGACGGTATTTATCCAATTCTACATGTTTTACGTATGCGTTTTATTTTTCCGTGGCTAACAACTTAGAAAATTCGCAGAACCGAACGAAATTTTGAATTTTAATTGATTTAACAAAGCTTGACATTGGAGATTTATTATCTCAAGAAAAAAACAACGTTACATTACTCTACCCTCTACCCAAGACAAAACATGACCCTCAGAAATTCTTAGAATGATTTCAGATTGACGGAAGAAAAAAGATCAGTGACATCAGAATCGTTTTTTTTTCAAGCAAACAAGTTTATAAAAAAAAAAATCAGACACTAAGCATTATTCTCTCAAAGAAATATAAAGAGCATTTATCAACATTAATATAAATAAAACAACATTTTCTCATATTCAATTTTTGTTATCTAGTTTTGTAAGTTAATCGGAGTGTAAAACTGAATGACAGGTTCTGTATTTGTTTACATTGACAACTGTCCGTTTCTTAGAAAGGGCGACAACCAAGATTAGCAGCGATGTCTATGCGCCGTATTTCCGGCATAGTTACTTGAATGCTGCTCGTCGTTATATGCGATTGGGGACATCGAATCAATAATTTCAATATAACAAAAGCGCATGACTCTTTGGCAAACAGGCCATATCGTCAATTTTTTGTTTGTTTACTGGGCACTGTATGTATTGCGCATAGGTGAAACCGGGCTATAACAAGAGCGCGTGACTATGTTAACACATGGGTTTGGTCCCGTTATAACATGGGCAAAATAGGGGAAAATAGCCGATTTTATGCTATAATTATTATAATTATATATATACATATATAGTAAAAACTTAAAAAATCTTCTTGTGAAAATCCAAAAGAGCTAGAGCTAAGATATTTGGCATAAAACATGTTCTGGTGGATGTCTACTAAGTTTGTTCATATAAAACCCCTTGGGTAAAAATTCTCATTAAAATTATTATTAATAATAATGTTAACACGGAAATGCTTTTTATCATGTTTTATTGAAGTTTTTAAAGTTAACCTACGTCGGAATTTTGAGGAAAGTTTATAAGATGAGGAGTTTGAAGTAAGTATCTATAAAGTATATTCTTATAGAATTAATTAAAGGGATACTTAGACAAATGAATGACAAAAATAGTTAACTGATGTTATTTACTCAAATAATGCTAAAATGTCATTCTCTAAAGTCCTAGCATAAATTTCTGTATAAATATACTATATATTTTGGGTTTGAAGCGTAATTATCTGTCCATATATTAAACGAAATTAATTAAGACGCCGACAGAGTCACCGAGTAGTTTTAAAACAAATCATATAACTGGAAAACCCTCATGAAATTACAATTACAGATATTATGGATATTGTTAGATTAAAATAAGTATTAGTCATTCATTTGACAGATACTTAAACGTTTTCATAGTTCTCTATAACAGCTATTTTGAATTCTAAATGCTATAACCTGACCTAAGTGGGTCAAGTCGGGAAACCACAATTTTATTCATTATAAAGAGGTAGGTTTTGTTCCTCTGACTGCTTAGTGTTTTCATCTCGAGGACTTTTATAGAACATTGAAAGAAAATTCAAATCGTAGAAATGAAACTTTTGCCTGTGTCTCCCTACACTTAAGAATTGAAAAGCATTAACTAGTGCCATATGTTACCTATTCAGGTGATATCGTGATTTTTTTTACCGTAATTATAAAGATCGTTGCTTTAATAAAGTTCAAATGCGCTGTTTTTACCTCTATCTTCAATGTACATTATGCGCAATGGTTGAGTTCAATTGACTATATATATTTAAAAAGATGGACTATTATAATGGCCATTGAACAATAGTTGATTATGAAAATTGCCAAGGATAAAATATGATTAATAGCCTGAAATATAAAAGGCCGGCCCACTCTTTTTATCAAAGAAACTTTAACGACATATTCCGAAGGATATCTATAGAAATTATCGTGATTCATGTGGGTTATTGATTATTCAAATGGACTTTTATCTATAATTTAAAATTGAAACCTATTATGGAAAACCCAAGTTGTTTTGACTTGACCTTTTCAGTCACCATTTATATTTGGATAGTCATAATGTCACTTTAATTTATGTTTAACTATTGGTCTTTTTTTTGTTATTTGATAGGTAATGAGGGTACACGGCGTAATGTTGCCACACGTGACACTGAAAAAATGTTTGACCTTCAATCAGAATGTCAGTTTGCCTCTTTTTTTCTCACCAGATGGGCTGAATATACTTTTTAACCCTGCGTTAAATCCAGACTGCCTACAACAACTTAATTTCCTGAACGACGGAGGTCAAACGATTGGTTCAGTCGGTAAAGGGACCTGACGCTGTGCTGTCGATTGTAGACTGGACATTTCAGAATCAAGTTAATCAGACTCCTGCGAGTAATGAAAATCTAGAAGTTGTCGAGAAATTCAAATAGGAGTATTATTTAGTAAAAGTGGTAGTTTCTTTAAAGCGAAGACTTAGGGCTTTCTTAAGGTATTCTGTTTTTCACTATTTCATTATCACATCCGTGTTATTTGTGCCGTGTGGCGGCTGTAAAAAGTCTCCCCGAACATTTAATCAATGATGTTTTATTTTCGATCCTTGAAAATCGTTCAGCACTACATTATTGTTGTGAATACATTTTACATGGTATTTTTAGTTTCTTGTATTTGGCCTTTATCAATTTGGGTGGTTCTAGTATTCCTACTTGAATACTGTATAATCACCCTTAGGATATGTTGCCTGCTTTTTAAATTTGTCTTTTGACGTCTTGTATGTGATATGCAGGCTTCATAACCTCAGATCCTCTTACAAAATTCCATTTTATTCACGTCCGCCTATTGTTTTCTCGTTTAGAGCACACGCATTTTTTTCCTTTGGGACCATACGTCGCGTTTCATGGCATGACACTACTGTCTCACATTTAAGGTTCAATGATGACTGCCGTATGAACACATCTGTGGATGTTTGTAAATTCAAAATTTCACCACTTAAGTGTTTTAATGTTGAATTCTGCTTAAGCCGGTGCTAGGGGGCGTGGACGGTAACTTGCAATTTCCGTTACCGTCCATGAACGGGCTCAATCAAACCGAGCCTGCAACATTTTACAATTTGCCGTGTTGGGCTTTCTTTAGGTTTCTTTTTTCAGTATTTTATATAGCTAACCGAACAATAAATGCCTTGTATTGTTTAATTGAAAAAAAAACAACAAAACTTCAATTACCTTTGAATATGTAAATAGATTTGTTTGACAAACTTGTAAAACCAATTTTACTATACGGTTGTGAATGCTTGGGATATGGTAATAACAGTATACTTGAAAAGCAACAATTGAAATATCTTAAATATATATTAGGCCTTAAATCCAGTACACCAAATTGTATTTTAAACGTCGAATGTGGTGTTAAACCAATTTCTATTTATATTGATTTTAGAATAATTAATCTTTGGTGTGATCTAGTTGTACATAATGAATTAAAACTATCTAGCACACTTAATCTAATTGCTCTTAAAACTTATAAAACAAGTAGTTATGGTAATAGACAGACATTTCTGTGCTTTAAGAATATTAAATATATATACTTGTCAAATGTGGAAACCCCAATCTATGGACATATCAGATGTTTCCGTGTCATAAGCGGTTGCTAATGTGAAGCAAAAATGACTGGTATTGTAAAGAATCGAGTAAATGTAAAAATTATAAATTATTTAAAGAAAATCTATTTCAAACCCTATTTAACAAATACACCAAAAAACTTACTAAGATATGTAACAACAAACAACAGGCTTCCTTTAGAAACCGGAAGTTGGAATGGTCAAAATTTAAATTTATGTAAATGTACACTTTGTTACAGCTCCAGAAGTATTGGAGAGAAATTCCATTATCTCTTTGAATGCAAATAATTATCTGTATTAAGAATAAGAATGTTAGATCGTAGTTATGTACGACATCCACAATTTATTAACTTTTAAATCTATTATGAATATAAATATAACTCATTGTAATGAATACAGTAATTTTTGTTTATATGTTAAATATGTTAAATATAATATGGAAATAATCACAAAATTTGATAACAGATTTCTACATATTTGTTCATCATGTCCTTCAAAATGTGTGTCCTTCTCCATTTTGGTAAGAAGAATTGTATTAAATAAATATTATTATTTTCCTGTGTATGCTATGCCTCTTTATGTAATGTATGCTTATATGCTATAGCTCATATTGTCATGTGTGTACATGAATTAAGTTCTGAAATAAACTTTGAAACTAACTTTTTACAGTTAGATCAAACTTAGAGTTGATTTAAGATAAATAAAAATTGCCGCTTTAAAATTCTTCAATTAATAAACGTCAACTAATTTCTTCGACGTCATTTGTTAATAAAGTGTTCAAATATATGACTTTCTCAAATATTGGTTATTCATATGTAGAAGCCAATATCTATTGATTTAAGGGTCACTAGGTCAAAGGACAACGTCACATGGGCCTTTATAGTGAGAACTGTTTCCCCTCATTATCTTGACAACTATTTATGACAAAGTCTTCGTATTTACATATTGATTAGTCATATGTAGTAGATGACCCATATTGATTTTTTATGTGACTAGGTTCATGTTCAAGGTCACATGGGCCTTAAATGTCAGAACAGTTTTCGCTCATTATCTTGACAACTATTTCTCGCATAGTCTTCATATTTCATATAATTATTAGTCATATGTTTTGTTTGTTTGTTTCATTTAACGCCTTTTTCCAACAGTATTTCAGTAATATAGGCGGGTAGTTTCCTAACCATCGTTCCTGGAGAGTTACACCAGTACTAGACTACCTTCCTCCGTGCTAAACTACCAAAGCATCTCCCGGGGAGAGGTAGTAACTGGATAAGAAGTCATCGACTCTAACCCCTAGACCAAGGAGGCGGCCGATTAGTCATATGTAGTAGATGACACCTATTAATTTTGGTGTTGCTAGGTCAAGGTAAAAGGTCAAAGGGGCCTTAAATGTCAGAATGTTTTCCGGTCATTATCTTAAAAGCTATCTATCACAAAGTCTTCATATTTCACAAATTGTTTGGTCTTAACTAGAGGATGACCTTTTTAGCTCACCCGAGCTAGCTCATGGTGAGCTTTCAGGATCTTTGAATGTCGTCGTCCATCCACACTTGTTCGTTAACATTTTTGCGGTCACTTTTTTGCCTCAATTATCATCAAACTTTGTCAGGATGCTTATGTAGGTAATAGCTCAGATGAGTTCGAACATGGTTCATCTCGAATAAAAAACTAGGTAACAGGAGCTTAAAATAGAAAAACATTGTTAACACTATAGGGGTCGCATTTTTGTCTCGATCATCATCAAACTTTTCAGAATGCTGTGCTAGGTAATTGCTCAAATAAGTTTGAACATGGGTTATCTCGAATGAAAAACTAGGTCACATGAGCTAAAAATAAAAAAACATTGTTAACACTCTAGCGGTCACATTTTTGTCTACTTTGTCAGGATGCTTATCTAGGTAATAGCTCAAAGACGTTTTAAAATGGGTCAGTCATCTCGAATAAAAAACTACGTCACAGGAGCTAAAAATAGAAAAAGCTTGGTAACACTGTAGCGTTCACATTTTTGCCTCAATCATCATCAAACTTTGTCAGGATTCTTGTCTAGGTAATTGCTCAGATGAGTTCGAACATTGGTCATCTTGGATGAAAAACTAGGTCACAGGAGCTAAAAATAGATTAACCTTGTTAACACTCTAGTGGTCATATTTTTGACTCATTTATCATCAAATTTGGTCAGGATGCTTGTCTAGGTAAATGCCCGGATAAGTTCAAAAGTTGGTCATCTTAGATGAAAAACTATGTCACATGAGCTTAAAATAGAAAAATCTTGTTTACACTCTATTGGCTACTGTTTTAATCCAAATATCCTAGAAATTGGTCTCAAAGTTTCTTTTGATGATTTTAAGGTCAAGTTTTAAAATTGGTCATCTGAGGTAAAAATCTAGGTCACACTGCTCAAAAATGGATAATCCTTGTTAACAGTCGTGGTCAAATTTTTGACTCACCTGTCATGAAACTTGGTCTGAGAATGCTTGTCTAGGTAGTTGTTCGGCTGAGTTAAATGGGTCAGGTGAGCGATGTAGGGCCATCTTAGCCCTCTTGGTTGATTTTAGGTTCAGTAGGTCAAAGGTCAACATCACAGTAACCTAAAATATAAAAGTGGTTTTGAATTAATAACTTTTGAATGGCAAGTCTTACAGATGTCAAAGTTGGTAGAACACTTCCATGTACCCATTTATGACATGTTTCTTTTACAAAATTACCAACAGTATGAGCCAAGTTCTTTAACAAAATTACCAACAGTATGAGCCAAGGGCAAGAAGGGGGGGGGGCATATGTGTCATTCGACATTTTTGTTTCTGTTTTATTTTTATTCATAGAAATAGAAATTAGCTGGCTGTTGTTTTAATTCTTCCTATTGACCAAGCATTTGTGGAGATTATTGTTAAAGTCAATTTTATATGAAACGCTATCCAACAATATATATTATGCTTTGCATCATTACCCACATGAACTTAACATTATGATGTTAGTCTGAAATCAAGGGCAGGTATTTGTCTGCCAAGAACTTTTTTTGCAGATTTATGCCCCTTCTCCTTTTTCAATTTCATTACCTAGTATACTTTCCATATCTGACAAAAGTGAAGAGTTATGTCCTGTGATAAACGACAGTTAGGACATATTTGTTGCTTTTCTTGCAATCTGTTTGATTAAACATGTCATATATATGTGTTTAAGAACTTAGAGGGCGATGACCATAAATCAATATGACCAGAGCTACTGTATGTACGTGGGAGAATGTTTAAACAAAAATTAAACATTGATCAGGTACAGGTTAGCTAACTTGACCCTCTATTTATAAATGTTTATAAGTAAATGAAGTGCTTTCTTCCATGATTTTAATTTTAACTAGAAACAAAATTGAATTTAAATGAATATTGCGACTTTTTCATGAACCTGTATTCATGTCCTGCACAACAAAACGTGATTCCAATGGTCGTTGATTTTATCTAGGTGACTGCTTTTGAATAATTATATTAGGTCTGTTTCAACTTACATGGAAAGTCGTCTTGCAATCTAACAGTGTCAATTTTCGTGCATTTTTAGCCCAATATGAGTGAAAAGCGTTGCAACACTTTTTGTTTTTGTGCCATTTTACACATAAAAAATGATTATTCTGGTAAAACAAGGTGGGGTTATGAACTGGAAATGTGCACATAAGTAATGAAGTTATTCTTTTCACATCAAATGATACATACGATCGTATAGGAAAAAAAATTCAGTCGAACCAGGCCAAAAAATTCTGTAGAGTGCCTTTGATTATATAAATAAAAGCCCAGGTCAACTTGCATGTCTGAGAAATGAGTAATCCGTCCAGACTCGCGATGCTGAATTTTATTATTAGTTTCTGAAATTCTTGTTAGACCGATAGTTTACAGTCCCAAATTCAAAATAGAATGTGTTCTTTTTTGTAGTATAGAAGTTGAGAACGTTAATGTGTGTTTTTTTAAACTACGATTTGAACATAATTTTAGTCATTTTTGGCACTAATATGATCAGCCTTAACGGCTTTCTTTGATAGCAACGCACTAAACCAGTAAATTTTATTTTCTCTGCAAGTGACCAATTAAACCCATATAATTTCTTAATCAGCTGTGAGTGATAATTGACAATAAGACACAATGTCCGAATTCAGATTTAATGTCCGAGTTCAGACTGAATGTCTGAGTCAGACTGAATATCAGTTCAGTTGTCATTTAGCCTGTTCGGAGGATCAACCAAGCAACACCTTGATTAAAAATCCTTTGTATTTATAATATAAAATTGTAGTTGTATAGAGAATAATTTTATCGTACTTGTATTGTTACAGTTAGCAAAATGGTTCTCCCTCTATGTAAATGTTGATGTGAAAGCGTATGGCCAAAATAAAGCATTGGTTGCTACATCAAACCACTACTGGTAAGACATTTAATTCTGTTTTTATTTTTTTGTGCCCATATCTGAATAACTAAAATATTTTGTGTTAAAAAATAATATATGCCAAAATAATACTCAAATAAATACAATAATTTTGAAATATACTTCATGTGCTTCCTCAGGCCTGAAAAAGTGCACTTTCTAACAAAATCTTTATGTAGTGAAAAACCCAAAGAAAAATAATAACATTATATTTTATCTCCAAACATAACACAATGTTGGTTAGATATGAGAACAGTAGACTGTTTGACTGAGAAATTGATAACATAACAACAGTTATTATGAAATATCAATCCATAACACACTATTTAAAGCCCATTTAGAATTAACCTTATAATAATTACTGAAAATCTCAAAAGTTATAAAAAACAAAACTTTTTAATTCATTTATTCTATTGTATTATTCTTGTATAATACTAAAGAATGAAAAAACACCATCTACGCCATGTATTTATCCAACCAAATCTCCAAACTAAAGAGTATCAAAGAATGGCCACTTATGGACTCATGTTTTAATATATAAGACCAGAAGAGTTAACTTTCTTGAATGCTTAATACAGTACACTGACTATGTTTCCTTGCTTCTAATCAGGGACTTCTCGGGGCTTCCTTAGGCATTTTAAAAGCTGAATAGATATCTATATTACATTAATTAATATTGTAAGCGAGACCTTAAATTTAAGTCACCCAAAACCCCCTAATAATCATTGTTTTAAAAACACAATTTGTGTTTCGTGAAGCATTTGTTTAATTTATTGTTTGAAAAGGAACATATTTCATGATAAACATGTTTAAGGTCATAACTTATTTAAACTGTAATGTCTAAAGGTTGTTAACTTGTTGTGTGGATTTACGTGAAATTCTTTATGAAAGTGACTGAAATGTTTTTCTTTTGAAAAGTAACTATAGATAGTTTTATTCTTTAATTAATGTTATATCGTAGAAAATGTTTTTGTATTTCATTATTATTTTTACAGTGCCAAAGATATTTTACGAGCATTTAAACAGCACAACACAATATATATGACATATTATAGTGTATGGAAACACTCACCTATTGCCAGGGGACTTTTGTGGTAAGTTTTTGTTTTAGATAATATTCTAATCTCGTAACTAGAACTGGTGAATTTGGATCAGAAATTCATCCAATTTTCTGCATTCTATGCCTTATTTTAAATGTTTTGCTTCAACAAATCAATTCAAGGTATTATTATCATTTCATCTGCTAATAGCATATTACTTTATATGGTAATAAAAATAATGAATTGAAAAATCTTGCTTCTATTAAAAAAAATATTTCATTTGCTACTGCTTTTTCTGATTTTGCATATAACAGTGTTGAAAAAACTTCATTTACCTAAATGACTCATTTAAATGAAAACTTATTGTTTTATATATTAATGCTCTAACTAAGTATTATCGAGGCATCTCTTTTACCAACTTATGTCAAATTTACATCGAAATCAACTAGTTTTGACTGGGTTGTACATAAACGCATTGTATGAAGTAAATAATTTGCCTTTACTCAATATGTAAATTATTGAGTTCACCAAAGAAACTCGATGCGAACATAGTTGAAACTGTAAGTATGTACTTTATAAAGGAAAAAATATATAATGAAAATCCTGTAGCAAACATAAAAGAAAAATACAAGAGCTTAAACTTCTTTCCTTATATTTTAGGACAGGGGTTTTGCTATCAGGAAATGATTGTGTTGTTGCCTTATGACTGGTGATAAGAAAACATGACCCAAAAGAGACTTAACTAAAGGAAAAGATTTGAATTCAAATAAAAGATGTGAAATTGACAGAAAAGATGGAATTAACATAAAAAAACTTAAGTTTACCAAAGAAATGAAAAAGCTTGAGATTTTCATACTGATGAATCTTGTGTGGCAGGTTAGGGAAATTATAATTACTGTTGGAAATCTTGTAGATGATATTATGGAAAAAACAAGATGTCAACATTGAAAAATTGGATGTAATTTTTATATCTCAAGCACTTCGGGGTAGGGGCAATCATGTAGAATTTTCATTGTCCGTTTTTCATACTGTCCTGTTGTAGGTCAGTAGACTGACAAAGCAGTGAAATTTTGGGGCATTTGTGTCCTATGGACACCCTGTGGACACATTTTTGTGCCCCCACTTAAGTGGCGGGCATTTAGATTTACCCTTGTCCGTCCGTCCTTCATTCCGTTCTCTTTTGTGTCGCACGTAACTCAAAAAGTATTTGACCTAGAGTCATGAAACTTTACAGGAATGTTGATCAGCATGTGTTGTTGTGCACCCGTGTATTTTTGTCTGGATATTTTTAGTTTTTTTAGAGTTATTGCCCTTGACTTAGTAAAATTTTGCAATTTTCAACTTATGTCGCATGTAACTTAAAAAGGATTTGACATAGAGTCATGAAACTTTACAGGGATATTGATCAGCATGTGTAGTTGTGCACCTGGGTATTTTCGTCTGGATTTATTTAGTATTTTTAGACTTATTGCCCTTGACTTAGAATTTTTTTGCAATTTTCAACTTGTGTCACATATAACTCAAAAAGGATTTGACATAGAGAGTCATTTATCCTTATGGGAAGGTTGCTCAGCATATGTTGTTTTGCACCTGAGGGTTTGCTTGTGAATTTATCCAGTATTTGAAGAGTAAATTCCCTTGACTTAGTAAAAACCGTTTAATTATGTTGTTATTTGTTCCTTGAGTGCTTGAGTTAGAATCAACCAACTTTACAGGATTAATGATCAACATCACTAAATTACAGGAATAATGATTTACATCACTGTGAAGCTTTGCATGTGGATTTTTTTCAGTTTTGTTAGAGTTATTGCCCTTGACTTACAGAAGTATAAATTTGCAATTTTCAACTTGTTCATGCATAGCTCAAAAAGTATTTCACTTGTAGGCCTGAAAGTTTACAAGAATATTGGTCAGCATGTGTACTTGTGCACCTTGGGTTTGCTTGTGGATTTATTCAGTATTTGTAAAGTTCATGCCATTTACATAGTAAAAGATTTTTATATTTCAAAACATATTTGACCTAGAGTCAAAAGATTGACAGAATAGTGTCGCGGTGGGGCCATCCGTGTCCTATGGACACACTTCTAGTTTATTATTACAACAAATGTATTCGGGAAAATTCAAAACTGAAATATGAATCAGCATGACTTTAAATCAGTAAATTGTTTGATTGCTTTAGGAACTGGCATACTCTATCAAGAATGAAGAAATGTTTTTGCACTGTAAAGCCATGGTAGTAGGCTTTAATAAAATATTTTGATCAAATCATTGAAATAGTTTATTAACAAAAAGTAAAGAAATTTGTTATTAACTTTTTGTTGTTACCGGTTTTAGAAATTTTATTTTCTTCTTTTTGAATAAAATTCAATATCTCTTTTATATGTTAACTCCATGTGGTTTATCGTTTAAAGTGTAACAGGGTAAATGTACATACGATTTTAAGTATTGTCATTCATTGAAAGTGTAGAGATTATTAAGGCATTTGGTAAGATATTTTCTTTACAAAAAATGTATGTTGCCATCTAAGATACCTTGTATGGTTATCAAAGATTTCCAAACAACACCTGTTTGATTTAAAATGCCTCATTTTAATCACATCATTTGTTGGAATTTTAAGGATTTGAATTCATTATTTTAAAATCTGATGAAAAATAATACTAGGCACTCCGAAACAACAGTGACCCCAAAACTTGATAACTTGCTTCTCCCGCTGTTTCCATGTCATCCTTCGGTTATACATCGGGAGGAAGATACAAACCCCACCTACCATATCAACCCTAGATTATATGTGTAGCGGAAGATACTGTTGAAAGTTTCCCTATCCCACTACCTCAACACAAACCCTGATTCATGCATGTTTGCGTTCATACATGTATTTGGGTTGTAGCATCATTATTTGGTCCAAGATGTCCTCTGCGAAAGTTATGTAAATCATTCTTCTGTGGTCAAAACTGACCCCTTCACAAATGAATATTACATATAGACTAATACTGGAAAATGCATTTATTTCTGCTTGTGGAAAACTACAACGCCATGAGATTATAAATTTGGCATGTATCATTGTGTAATGAATCAACAAAATCTAATGAATCATTTCCCTGGGGTCAGCACACTTAGTTTTACACAGATTTAAATAGTAAAAAAAAGCATTAAAGTTTTTCTCCTTCAAGGGTCAGAGCTACCTCACTGTTGTACAGCGTTAACCGGAAATAGCCCCTTAAATCGAAAAGAAAGTAAAAACGCCATACAACAGTGTACCTTGTGGTCATCAACAAAAGTTATATATAAATCATTCCCAGGTGTCAAAATTGGCACGTGTTTGGAATATACATACTCGTGCATATAAAATTGTATAGGAAAATACCTATAATTATGTCTTCTTGAGTCAAACTTCAATACCCAGAGGTTAAATATTTTGTATGACCTCTAAGAAATTGTTATTAATCATATCACTAAGGCCAAAAAATGGTTCCCGTCTTTGGGGGAAGTTAGTTGACGTACACGTGTAAAGTGTACATGTATGCCTTTTTCATCATCTCTTAAATTACAGTGCACTTGGTCGATGATATAAAGAAATTCACATAATTATAAAGAAATTCACGAAGCTCAGGCTCAGATCTTAATTGTTTGCCTTTCAAAACGCAACATAATCATAATTTACTATGGCAAATTAAAAGTCTTAGATTTGAGACAGAGCTCAGAAAATTGTTTTACAACAAAGATATTAGGCAAGTTTTATCACCTTGATGTTCTCTACAAAGGTTATAGAAATCATGCATCTAGGGCCAAAAATGAACAAAGTCTAGAAGTCACCTAGTTTATAAAAACTAAATGTTTTAAAGACACATTTTAATATCCATCCTGTGGGAAACTGCGATGTGCCAGTCTTCACATTAATGCAGTATGACAAGGTTCTTTACTGTTGGTACCTCCGTTTATGTAAATCTATAATGAAATATCTTAAAATCAGCTGGATATCAACTGTTGCAATTTAAAAGTTGTGTAAATTCAGCAGTACGGGTTTTTTAAGTAAGTCATTTTAATGCAAAACAGCTTAAAACTCGCTTAAAACATACTTTATTGTTTGTAACTATTGATGCATATTACATAAAAGGGGAACGTCTCTATGAACTTCTGAAATAAAACTATGTGGGCGGCGAAAGTGTCTAATTTTGCCTAATTTAATGTTCAATTTTGGAATTAGGAATTGAGGTAAATACTGGGAAATTTTGTAGATGGGCTTACCTTCTAGAGAGATTAATGGTCTATTTGCGACCTTATTTTAAACAATTCATTCAAATATATGTAATCATTTAAACAGAACAACAACTCAACATGAGCATGGTATACAGCAACAATGTTGATAGCGTAGTTAAATGTTTAATTTGTTGTGAACTAGCGAGATTATATATTTTTGTATATAGCCATTTTGTTAAATCAATATAATATAACTAACATTTAAAGACTGATAGTGAAAGAAGAAATGAGAAATATGGCAATAAATACCATTTCATTGCCTAACTAACTGTGTTTGTACGCATTTAAAAAGTGCATTATATCTAGTTATATATGCATTTGCATTACTAATTAAAGTCAGTTAATAAAAAGGAATGCACAGCAGTACGCTCATCTCCTTCAGGAACAGTTTTCGCAAATGATGACGTCATATCCCCGTCGATGACATGAATTGTTTCTGAAATCATTGAAGACAGACCACTTAGAAAATACGACATTGGTAAGGCTATTTCCTGTTCCTCTAGGAGCCGTTCTAAAAATAACTTTATCGGATGACTTTGCGCAATAAAATGATTTGGCCCCCTGTGTCATGACCATAGTCGGATTCACGGAGTTCACATTCACGGAGTTCACGCGAATGTTTTATGGTCCTAGTTCCAATGCAAACGGTTTCGTCATCATATTCATACCCGCTTTTGGCACATTATATACCAGATACCCTGGAGCTGATTACAGTGGAAAATATTGAACACATCTTTTACACCTATAGTACCTCATCTCTAAACTATTCTTCTTTTTAGGTCCTCAAATGTTATACCATGTATGTTCAGAAAATATTTACAAATATTAGAAAATAAAAAAAAATCACTTTCTAAGAGCTACTATAAATCACATTGTTAGATTCATACCATTTTATCATATGTTAATTGTAACAGCTTAAAATGACGTACAATTAGTGTGCATTTTTAAAATTTAATTGCAAAATTGCTAAATTTGGTTAGTAGTGGCATGCTTTCTCCCATCTTTCTTGGTTGTTCGTCTCAGGTTGGTGTACAATACCAGTTTTAAATATTGTGACTGATTATATGACCCAGTTAAATTCTCATGTTAGACAGGGTTTATATGGCAAGCAAGCATTTAAATAAGCTCACACTATAGATTGACGATAATATATATTATTATATTTTCTTTATCCTCTTGATGATATTGTGAAACCATAGAGGTATGATTAAATTACATAAATTAAACAGATCTTTGTTATTATAATTTCTATTTATATTGTATTATATATAGATGGATTTAAAGTCTTTAGAAATGTTTAGTATAAAATTTAATTTATGATATTGCATAGAATTCTTGTGTAAAGAGAATATATAGAGGTGATTGAATGAGTGTACAAATAAGTTAAATAATGTAGTTGAATTAAATTTTATTGTACAAGCCTCAGGCAAGCATAATATTATTTCATTGAAGGAGTTTGATAAATTAGTAATGAAACTACATAAATATAATTTTCTATTTAGCACAAATACAATATAAGAACTGCTTATGGGGGTATTATTAAAACTTTAAGTAATGATAATTATGTTTTGTTATGTTTGCAGTGATTACCATTGCTTGGTTCTACATCATTTTGTACATTTTGATAATATTTTCATTACTCTCTATAGTGATGCTGCATGTACTTAAATAAAGTGTTCTGGTCTCAGCACACCAACATACAGCTTTAGGATCCTCTATATTCTCCAGTATAGTTGTCCTGTCTTTACAGTCAGCACTTACTCTATATATACATTTAGTCATTTCATCACTCACAAAGAAGGACCCGTCATCTAACAGTGAAATACCCCTTGGACTTGTAATGTCTACATTCCTTCCTATCATCTCTCCCTGCCAGTTAAACCATGTGACTTCCTTTTTGCCTGCATCAGATACATAGAGTGAATGGCTGTTTGTGGTGACACACCAAGGTTCACTGAAAATATTGTCACCATTTGAATCTTTCGTT